ACTTGGCATATGGATTGTTGTTTTTCTTTTCTCCACTAACTTATTACTTTTTCTTTTTATTCAGGATTAGGTTTTCTCTTTTTATTCAGGATGAGGATGTTCATTCTGGTTTCTTTTTTTAATAGTGGCTAAAATTAGAAGCAACTTAAAATTCCAGAAAGATAGATACGTTTTGAAAAATTTCGATATATCCTACTTTGGATTGTTCCACTGCCATTAAAATTTGGTTTTCACACTATGTAGAAAATGAACTATGCAACTTGTGGGCAGGGATGGGAAGGGAAAACTGGGGGAAAGTGAAGGAAGAGGTGACATTGTCATTGTCCAAAAGAGAAATGTACTAATTGACTGACTTCTTTTTTGGGGGGTTGTGGGGGGGTCCCGGTCACGGGGCTGAACTCTGGGCCTGGGCGCTGACCCTCAGCTCTTCAGCTCAAGGCTAGCGCTCTACCACTTGAGCCACAGCACCACTTCCAGCTTTTTTTCTTTTTTGCTTATGTGGTGCTGAGGAATCGAACCCAGAGCCTCATGCATGCAAGGCAAGTGCTCTACCACTGAGTCACTTTCCCAGCCCCTCATTACCTGACTTCTGAAATGGTAACTCCTCTGTACAACTTCTTAATAATAACAAAACTATATTAAAGTATTTAAAAGTATTGGGAGACCTCTGCTTTTGTATGGAATGTAGAATAAGAGGGACTAGATTTATCCTCTTGCTTGAACAGAAATAAACTAAAGACATAAGAGCTAAGACTTCAAGGGGCCTCAGTGGCTGGAGATCTTATGTGGGTGATGTTGTGACATACCACAACTAGTTGGGTGTTGGTGACTTACGTATGTAATTCTAGTTATTCAGGAGGCTGAGATCTGAGGATCGTGGTTCAAAAGCAGCCTAGGCCGGTGAGATTCTTATCTCCAATAAACTACTCAAAAAAGCTGCAAGTGGCATTGTAACTCAAGTGGTAAAGAACTAGCCTTGAGCACAAAAGCTCAGGGACAGTGCCCAGACACTCTGGTTTAACTCCCAGGACAGACACACACACATAGACACACACACATAGACACACACACACATAGACACACACACACACACACACACACACACACACACACACACACACACACACACACACACACACACACACACACACACACACACACACACACACACACCCAACACTCCCGCCCCCCCTCCCCAGTATGTGCATTTTTTGTTTGTTTAGTCAGTTGTGGGGCTGAACTCGGCCTGGGCGCTGTCCCTCAGCTCTTCAGCTCAAGGCTAGCGCTCTACCACTTGAGCCACAGTGCCACTTCACGTTTTTTCTGCTTATGTGATGCTGAGGAATCGAACCCAGGGCCTCATGCATATGAGGCAAGCACTCTACCACTGAGCCATCTTCCTAGCCCAGTATATACAGTTTTTATGTCTATTATACCTCTTATACATCAAAGAGTCTATTTAAAAAACAAAAAGCAAAATCCTAGCTGGTGGCTCATTCCTGTAATCTTAGCTTTTTGGGAGATTGAGATATGGATGGTTGAGGTTTGAGCTCAAGGAAGGCAGAAAATCTCAATCTCTAGAATTTTAAAAGTTTCTGAAACAGCCAACAATAAGCAGGGCTGGAGGCAAATAGCTCAAATGACAGAATGCCAGCTACAAGCAAGCCAAACTAGCAGGAGACCCTCTGCTAAAACCTCAATACTACCAAACAAAAACAAACCTCCACTATATTGGAAATGAACTTTACAACTTTGGGTGGGGGATTGAGGAAGGTGGGGGAGGAAGGGATAGTGGGAGAACAGCAAAGGAGGGGGTAACAATGCTGGACAAGAAATGCACACATTACCTTACTCATGTAACTGTAACCCCTCTGTACAGCATCTTTGCAATAAAATAATATTTTTTAAAAAAGAAAAACCATAGGATGTTTTAATATGTTAACAGTAAATGCAGATTACAAAATAATTGTAGTTCTTTGGTCATAAGGAAAATTGTTGATATCTATATTTATGTGCCCTCATCATATCTTCTATATTATATTACTATTATGCTAGAGTTTTGGAATATTAGATATGGATATGGTACTACAGTTTTTAACTTTAATCTCTTGAAATTAAGTAATCATAGCATAGTAGGTATCAGTTGTTGTTCTGTCCAGCCTGCTGACCTAGGTTTTTGTTATTGTTGTTGTTATCATAAAGGTTTTATACAGAGAGGTATCATAAGTCAGGTGAAGACTACATTTCTTTTTGGACTCTGTCACCCTTCCCTTACTCTCTTAAGTTTTTCCTTCCTGTCTCCACCCACAAGTTGTATAGTTCATTTTCAACATAGCGTCTAGTGTGTACCACTGCTACATTTGTTCATCCTTTGTTCATCCTTTGTCCCTTCCATTCCATTGGGATATTGTCATCTCAAAACTAGAATGCTTGAAACTAAACTCTTTAATTTCTAGCTTGTTTTCTTCTTTCTTTATCATTCTCTGGGTGATACTTTATATTGCCATTCTTTTACTTTTTTATCTTTCTTTCCTTTTTCTCTTTTTATTCCTCTCTTTATTAATGTATATTAACCCATGTTTTTGTGCAAGAAGCTAGAAAATTGTCTTTGATATTTACTATTTCTCTTCATGTGCTTTATCACCAATTCCTGTGATTGAGAGCCCATTTCCATTCTGTAATCTCTTCCTCTCATCACACCACCAGTACCCCAATCCAAGCCACTATCCTCTGTCACTTCACAAAAGCCTAGTGATTGTGCTCCTGGGTTTTTTCTTTTTTTAATTCCTTTCAATCCAATCTTCAGATAACATTCTGAGTGAACTTTTGTGCTACCTCCTTGTACATCTATTCATTGCTTATAAGATAAAATCTAAAATCCTTTCAAGAAGGTCTGGTTCTTGTTTGCCTCTTCTTTATTGTGTTCTTACCACAGAGCAGGTCATTTCCTGACCTCTTTGCTCTTTTAACCTTGGATTTTCTCATAGAGTTTTGCCTTAACTTGCAGTGGTTCTCTTTCTATTCCAAAGCATGTTCATGTGTCTCCTGAAAGTACCTCTACTTCAGGTATGTTTTTCCTTACTTGCCCATTGAAAATTGGCATACACACTAGAACCCCATAGTTTTCTTCATAGCTGTTATTAGGGGTGGCAGTTAAAGAAACTATTTGTTTAATACCAAGTTCCTATTTTGTCTTGAGTACTTGACAGTTGGTACCATGCCTGGGGTTTTGGTTTTACTGCTGGATGTCTATCTTTTGGCTTTTCTTAGTATAGCTAACAATGTTTCCTAGTATAACTAACTATATATAAAATCAGAGGACATATATTAGTGGTTGCCTTTTGAGTGATTTTTTTTTTTCTGATCCTCAGGGCCTAGGCATTGTCCTGAGCTTTTGTATTCAAAGCTAGCGCTCTATCACTTGAGCCACAGCTCCACTTCTGCCTTTTTGTGGTTAATTGGAGAGTCTCAAGGAATTTCTTGCTTGAGCTGATTTCAAACTGCAATCCCAGATTTCAGACTCTGAGTAGCTAGGATTACAAGCATGTGCCATGGGCACCTGCCTGTAAACGTCTTTTATAAGATTCTGTAATGAAATATTAAACTTCCTAATCAAAAAGTTATAAGTAAAACATATTTCTCTTACATTTTATGTCTTTACTAGAGTGAATAAAAGTAGATGTTATTTTTTTACTTTGTATTCTTGTTCTCAATACTATTACAAAAATCACTTTGGTATATTTGTTTGCCTTTTGTATCTGTTGAGTCACATGAGCGAGACTTTTGGGCTTTGTGGGAGCAGAGGCTTTTTTAGAAGTATTCTTAGATACGGTTTACCTAGGGCAACGTTTATGTTTCTCTGCTGCATCTGCTAACCACTTAATACCTACCATCTTGCATATTTTAGCTTGAGGAGTCTTCTGTATTTATCTGGTACCTTTTAATGCCTTCTTTACTCAGATAAGATGGATTCTTTATAACAGTTTTGACCAGTTTTTAACTTAGGGAAGAGATTAATATTTTCTGACTTTTTTGGGGGGTGGGTGGGTTGTGGGGGTTGAACTCTGGGCCTGGATGTTATCCCTTAGCTCTTCAGCTCAAGGCAAGCACTCTACCATTTGAGCCACAGTGCCACTTCCAGTTTTCTGGTGGTTAATTGGAGATAAGAGTCTCAAGGACTTTCCTGCCCTGGCTGGCTTCGAACAGTGATTCTTAGATCTCAGCCTCCTGAGTAGCCAGGATTATAGGCATAAGCCACCAGCACCCAGCTTTTTTGACTTTTTGTTTGTGTTTTAACTGGTTCTGGGCCTAGTGATTGGCTGGTGCTCTACCACTTGAGTCATGCCTTTTTGATGTCAAACAGTAAACAGTAGTGACCAAGAACTCAGTGATTACACACGCTATACTGGAGGGATTTCATTTTTAATTCATCTTTATGAAGCTTTAGAATTCATTCCTTGTGTTTAAAGGGAATGTTTAATTGAAAAATAAACATTTGTGTCCACTTGAGTCATGCCTCTAGTCCTACATTTTGATGCTTAACTGGAGATGAGTCTTGCAGATTTTCTACCTAGGCTAGCTTTAAACTGTGATCTTCCTGGTCTCAGGCATCTGAGTGGTTAGGAGTACAAGAATGAGCCACTGGTGCCTGACTTGAGATTTTCTGAACTCATGCTATGTATCTGTGGCAACTCTGGGGATGGGACTATAGTGAATAGCCTCAATTTTTAAGTTTTTATTGCATAAAACTATGTTTTTTTTACAAATTTAAGATAAAACTGTATGTTTGAAGTAATGATTTAATAAGTCTAGTACTATGTGATGCTAAAATCCTAAGTTTTCAGAGAATTAACTTGATTGAGTAGCTTATATTTTTTACCCATCATTGAATAGCTTATATTTTTTAGCTATACCTAAATGACCCTTTTCTTACCTAATAATGCTTATTACAATTGTATTTACATGTATCTCTAGTAAATTTATGGTAATTTTCTTAACAGATAAAATAATTAGGCACAGGGCTTGTACCCTGAAGGACACTGCACATGCTATCATTGCAGCTGAATTGGATCCAGAATTTAATAAACTCTGTGAAGAAATCAAGGAAGCAAGAATAAAAAGAGGTAATTATAGAAATAGACTTGCTGGGGAAGCCATGTTTACTCATTTCACACCGAGTCATTTAATGATGTTTTGTTAAGAATAGTATTATAAAAATGTGTTTTGAGACATAACCTTTATTTATGGTGTACTGGGTAGTGACCATATGTAATGAACATATATAATGCCTTAAATTTTTATGATTTCTTGATGAGTAAATTCAAATTCCTTTCTTTCATTTGAAGCTATGTAATACAGCATTGTTGATTTTATCAACTTGCTGTGCCATAGAATACTAGAACTTATTAATTTTTGTAAATTCTCAAAGTATAGGTCATTTTTTGGTCATTTTATTTCTATTAAAAGATTTGGATAAGCAGGGCATTGGTGGCTCACACCTATAATCCTAGCTACTCTAGAGGCTGAGATCTAGGTTCAAAGCCAGCCCAGGCAGGAAAGTCTGTGAGACTCTTAGCTCCATTTAACCACAAGAAAACTAGAAGTGACACTGTGGCTCAAAATAGTATAGCCTTGAGCAAAGGAGCTCAGGGACAGCTCTCAGGCGCCATGACTGGGGGGAAAAATATATTTAGATAATTGTTTTCATATCTGAACAGATTTTTGTTTTCAAGAAGCCAGGTGTGATGGTGCATGTCTGTAATCGGTTTATTCAGGAGATAGAGGTAGGAGGATCTCAGGTTTGAGGACAGCCCTGTTTGTATTTGTTAAGGAGATCTTATTTCAAAAATAAAACAAAAACAATGCCAAGAGGACATGGCTTAAGCTGAAATGTGTTTGTCTAGGGTACACAAGGCCCAGGATTCAGTCCCCAATACTGATACAATCATGAACACTTTTTTTCCCCCTCCCTATTGAAGCTATGGGCAATTTTATTGTTAGAAATATAACAATTATCAAGTATAGTTTGTTTGATTTATAATCATGTCCTTGAGGAACTTGAACTATAGCAAGGGAGAGAGAAATGTTTTTTTTTTTTTTAAGTTGCCAGGTGCTCTTGGCTGCCCTTGAGCTCTTTTTGCTCAAGGCTAGTGCTCTACCACTTGAGCCAGAGCTCCACTCCTGGCTTTTTGGTGGTTGGTTAATTGAAGATAAAAGTCTCTCAGACTTTCCTGCTCCAGCTGGTTTCGAACTGCAGTCCTCAGATGTCAACCTCTTGAATGGCTAGGATTGTAGCATGTGCCTCTGGCACTCAGCTGACATACAGTCTTCTTCCATGATCATAGTATGAAATGTATCTCATTGTGCATTGACTAAGAGTGGATGTTAAGTGTGTCCATGGCCTACTGTTTTATGATTTTCTGTCTAGTGTCTGCCCCATCTTAAAACAAAAGACACTTTCCATCAGAATCATACATTTTTCAAGTATAATTAATCACGTAAAACTCGAGTTTTGTATGTCAGACCTTTTTTTAAAATTTTAACCTTGTTGCTTTCTGTAGCTGAGAATATTTAAATAGGTATTGCTTATCTGCTGTTTGCAGGCTTATCGGTAACAGCTGAACAAATAAATCCTCATGGTACTGGAGCTCGGAAGACAGAAACTAGAGTTGAAGAGGCATTTCGACACAAACAAAGAAATCCAATGGATGTCTGGCACAATTCTGCAAATAAATGTGCATGTGAGTAATTGAGATCATGTTATCCAGTGGTGGGAACAATTGAAAAAGATGCAGATTTGTTAGGAATTGGATTCACAAACCAAAATGCTATAGTTTTTTCCATAGCTTCTTTAATCTTTCTTCCTAGAGGTGAAGAGTTTGTGGGGTAAAATGCCAACTCAGAAATGTATTTCTTTAAACTCATTCACTATTTTCATCATTTGAACTGGATTAGAATATTTTTAATGTTAAACTTGGTTTAACATTAGGTTGGAGATGTGGAGGCAGCAGACTTTTTACCACTCTGTCCTCATTCCTCACCCTTTTGTTATACTCTACAGGATGTTCTCTTTATAGTGAGAAATGGGACTTTGTCATATGGATACAGAAAAGGTTGGGTCTTTGAGAGTATTTTGTGCTGAGCTTGAGAAATCAAAACAGCCTTCTTCATTTGTCTAGTTTTCTATAATACATTTAGAGGGAAATTTAACATTCTAGATTTTCTTCATGAAAACATTTGTGTTGGTCTATAATATTCCTAAAAGACAAAGGCCAATAAACCCAGAATCTTCCTAACATAGTCTTTCTGTTTCACTCAAGATACCCTACCTTGGGAGATACATATATTCACATTACAGGAACCTGTGATATGAAGATGGTAATGTTGTTCTGTCAATAAAGCTGGCTCTCTTTCTTTTGCTGGCCATGGGGCTTAAACTCAGGGACTAGATGCTGTCCCTGAGCCTCTGTGCTCTATCACTTGAATCACAGTGCCACTGCCAGCTTTTCCTGAGTAGTTTATTATATATAAGAGTATCACAGACTTTTCTTCCCAAGCTGGCTTTGAAGTGTAATCCTCAGGTCTCAGCTTCCTGAGTAGCTAGGATTACAGGTATGAACCACCAGCTCTTTTACAAATGGCATTGACTTTGAATAAGTGAGTCATACTCACTTTTTAAAGCTTCTGTCTTGATATGTGACATTCATATAGAAAAGTTTGAGAAAGACTTACTGTTCTTGAAACTATTTGCCCTAGTTATAACTTAACCTGTAATGACACAACCTGATTCTATTAATGATAATATATTGAATATTCACTTTAGCATGTTAAATTCCTTAAATATTAAAAAATTTAATATATTTTAATATATAAATGAGTTTTGTTTTTCCTTACCAGTAGGTGGCATATGTGACACACTGTCTGTTTTAGGTTTTCTTAAGTCATAAATGCAAATATCCTACAAAGACAGTTGCTTTCTTAATGCCTTGGTTTTATAAACCTGGGCTTGGAAACCAGTTCACTCTAAAGATTGTTCCTAAAAATGGACTTTTCTAATAGAGTACCCTTGATAAAAAAAAATAAAGTGGTATGTTAAGGATTGGATTCACAAATACATATACTCCCACTGAGTACCAGGTACTCTAAAGGTACTGCAGACTCAAACAAAAATCTCTATTTTTGTGGAGCTTATACAATTAGCTTTTCTTCTGTAAACATTTTGTTAACGATTAGGTTGTAAAGAAATGAGCTTCCTCTCGTTGGAGGAGAGGTCACCCTCTTCCTGTAGAGTTCCATGATTTAGGAAAGGGAGGGAGGATTCTTGTGATTTTGGTTACATGGCTGAAAACGAAGAAAGATTGCAGTTGTCAGGAATGGTTTCGCATATAGTAAGAAACCTAGCAGCTCCATCTTTTTGGAGTCAGATGAATACCTTTTCTAATGTTGAGTCTATTTTGCATATAGTTAACGGGATGATTACAGATGCCTGCAGCTGAGCCTCTGTGTTGTGTGCCTGCTTTCACAGCAGATATTTGCAGAATTTTTTTTCATGAAAGTTAACCCGATACTATAAATTATAAACATAAAAATGAAGGAAAAATAATGAAAAGATAATTCTAATGCCATTGTTTTTTTTTAATTAAATAGTTGTACAAAAGATTTTCTTTTTTTTTTTTTTGTCAGTCATGGGGCTTGAACTCTGGGCTTGGGTGCTGTCCTTTCGCTCTTCAGCTCAAGGCGAGCTCACTACCACTTGAGCCCCAGTGCCACTTCCAGTTTTCTAATGGTTTATTGGAGATAAGAGTCTCATGAACTTTCCTGTCCAGGCTGGCTTTGAACCGTGATTCTCAGACCTCAGCCTCCTGAGTAGCTAGGATTATAGGTGTGAGCCACTGGTGCCCAGCACAAAAGGTTTTCAATTCCAGCAGTCAGGTTATAAGTACAATGTATTTGATCAACGTCACCCTACCATTGTTCTTCCCATCATTCCCCATCCCATCCTTAACCTCAAGTACCACTAAGTTTTGTAGGAAAAATATACCAGGTGACCAAATAACTTGAATTTTGGAAATGATTCCAGGAATCCTCAGTAGCTCTACTCTCAGACAAGAAAGAATTAATTTTGAGCATATGTATTAATCCATATAAATTTGCTGGTGTCTTTACAGAGTCTCGTTAAGTTTTTAAAAGTGAAGAATGAAAGCAGTGTGTGAATATATTATATACTATATACACTGTAGACTATAAAGTCATATTAAACATGTGAAGGAGATTTAAAATTCCTCGATATATCTTTGCATCTGGAAACTTCTGCTGTGGATTTATAGGGCTATAATTTCTATCATGAGTATTTTCCATACAGCTTTTGTAGGTCTTTTTCACATAACTGATCAAATAACTATTTTCTTAATGTTGTTGCTGCTTTAACAGCAGAGAACTTGGTTTTCTTACATATTCTCAGGTAACTTTGCAGTAACTTGATGCTGCTAGGTGAACCGTTTGTGCAGGAGGAACTAATAGTTGGCTAACCAAAGTGACCCTACATGATTATACATATTATTGGTGATTCCCTTTTCTGAAAGGAAAGACAATTGAGATTTCTTTGTTGAGACACCTGTAATTATTCTACCATGCATTATTGGCTTCTGTATTTGTTTGTTTTCATATTGTGGTGACAAGATATACACCTTCCTGGGGAAAATTTAAAACTATGTCTAACTTTCTAATCAGCCTGATAATATAGCCATTTCTTAAATGTATATATTATGCAGTTGGCCACTGGTGTTAAAAATGAAGCACATATAAAGTAAAACGTATGGTACCAGAAAAGATTATATGAGATAATTTTTAATTAATTTTTTATTATGAAAATACCGTACAGAGGGGTTACAATTACATGAGCATGGTAATGAGTACATTTCTTATCAAGCATTGTGGCCTCCTCCTTTGTTTCCCCTTACCATCCGAGATAAATTTTTTTTAACTTTCTATTTTGTAGATTTCATATCCATTTTACTTGTAGATTGTGAAAATTAGTCAGCATGGATATCAAGAACTAAGAATTTTTGTTTGTATGTTAGATCATTATGAGTTTGCTTTGAGTCCTCTTTAGATATGTCTAACAAGTATTTCACTCCAAGTTCTACATATCTTTACCCCCTCCTCATGAAACAGTTCGAGTTCGGCGAAAGTCAAGGCGACGATCACAGTGGGGTAAAGGAATTATTAAGAAAAGGAAAGTCAATAATTTAAAAAAAGATGAAGAGGACACCAAGTTTGCAGACTATGAGAATCATACAGAGGACAGAAAATTGCTGGAAAATGGTGAGTTTGAGGTAAGCACTGACTGCCATGAGGAAAATGGAGAAGAGACTGGAGACTTGTCTATGACTAATGACGAATCTTCATGTGACATCATGGACATGGACCAAGGGCAGAGGCTAAACAGTGGAACAGGTACAAAAGAGAACTTTGCATCTACTGAAGAAGAAAGTTCAAATGAATCTTTACTTGTCCACAACAGCAGTTCTCTCAATCCAGAACAGTTATCTAGAAAGGAGCCTTTCCTTAAAGGCAACTGTCTGAATGGTGACGCCTCCGCTGATAGCTTTGAAGGAATACCAGCTCTAGAGTGCCAGAATGGCAAAGCTGAAGGGACTCCTCTCTCTGGTAGTGGAGAAAAATCTAATTCTGAACAAAAGATTCTCATGGAAGAACAGCCAAAAGAGAAATCAGAAACTTCTAATGAAAATCATGAAGATGATTCTGAGAAACTAGCCACACTGGAATGCAGCAATAATGAGAAGTTAGAGCCTTGCCTGGATGTGGAGGTTAAAGATACAGAACTGGATAAAGAAGGTAGAGCTACACTTTAAAACACTTTCTGGAAGTTTAAATTCCAGAGTTCATTACTTATTTTTATCTGACTTATAAGTAATTATATTGGGTAATTGTATTGCTCTGAGAATCTGTTAATGTTTTCATCCTTTTCCATATAAAAGTATGCGTATATACTAGGCTTTGCCAGTGGTTTCAGAGATGTTATGGTCTACTTTCCTGGCTGCTCTTATGCTTCCCATCTGATTATCACTCTCATTCTAGGGGATATATAAGTAAAAGCCAAGTAAAATCAGCAGGAGGAAAGAAGATAGAACTCCAAAAAGAATTTTTAGAATGAGATGTGGGTAGGCAGAGAAGACTTGGATATTATAACATTAGTCATGCAGATCTAGATTAAACTACCACTCCTGTTCATTATAATCATATAACTATGAGCCTGTTACTTATGCTTTCCCACCTTGGTTTTTCATCTTGTAAATTAAACTTCGAGATGGCATTGTTGCAGGGATTGCAATAAGTCATGTATAATAATTGCCTCTCATAGTTACTGGCACTTGCTAAGGTATATTTATTCCAGGCAGTCATTGTTAATTGAATCTGAGGGATGTTCAGTCTAAGAGGCTCCATTGATTTATAAGGCTTGGTGTGGAGGAGAGACACAGAATTCTCACTGTCGAGTTATCTTGTTCTTAGAGAATCAGTACTCTACCAGCTACTGGCTTCTTAAAACAATATGATTTTTTAAGAAGCAGCAGGAAAGGAGAATCAAGGGCTTCTAGTGCATCGTTGTTCATTGTTACTTTTTGGTCCATAGTGGTACAGAGTTAGTTGGCTATCTAGTTCAATAAATAAATATTTCCTTCCTGGACAGGTCTTGAAGTTATATCGTGATTTATAAATTGTGGGGAATACACAGAAATTTAGAATGGGATCAGAATTGTGTGTAAAAATTGTTCCTGCCATATTTCTAAGCCCTGTAGTAGAAGTAAGAAATTGAAATTATTATTCACTCTTACATTTCTTTTAATGGATAGAGATGTGCTGTTCTTAAAGGTTACCTGTTAAATGTTTTCTTTTATTTTTTTACACTTAAAAAGATTTTATTATGTGCTTTTTTTAATTTAATTTTATTTTATTTGTGAACATACTGTACAGAGGGGTTACAATTACATGGGCAGGATAATGCGTACATTTCTTACCAAGCATTGCAGCCTCCTCCTTTGTTTACCCTTCACATCCCTTCCCAGAAATGTTTTCTTTTAAAATATATAATATTGGGCTGGGAAGTTGGCTCAGTGGTAGAGCGCTTGCCTTGCATGCCTGAGGCCCTGGGTTCGGTTCCTCAGCACCTCATAAGCAAAAAGATAAAAGTCGGAAGTGGTGCTGTGGCTCAAGTGGTAGAGCATTAGCTTTGAGCTAAAGAGCTGAGGGACAGCGCCCAGGCCCAGAGTTCAGGCCCCACGACCGGACCCAAAAAAAAAAATAAATAAATAAAATATATAATATTAAGAAGTATTAGCCAGGTGCTGGTGACTCAAGCCTGTAATCCTAGCTACTGAAGAGGCTGAGATCTGAGGATCGCGGTTCAGAGCCAGTCGGGGCAAGTCTGTGAGACTTTTTTTTTGGGGGGGGGGTGGTCGTGGGGAAAATTGAGATCTGAGACTGGTCCAGGTTGGCCTGAACTCAGGTACTCCTCCAAGTTGGCCTTGACCTTGGTATCCTCTTATCTCAGCTTCCCAAGTGTGTGCCCCTGTACCTCACTTTTTTTTTTGGTGGTGATATTAGGGATTGAACTCCAGGCCAGTGCCCTGCTAATAACTCATTCGTTCAAATTTGTATTTATGTTCCACCCAGCCTCCTCTTAGAGAAGCCCTATTTTAGAGGAAAATAAAGCCTAGAGGTCTGCCTGCCCTCTCTTATCCCTTCAAAGTGCCTGCTATTATTTGCTTTTTTCAGTAATGTGATTGGTCTCAGCAAGCTAGTAGGAGGAAAGCAATTTGATTATTCTACTCACCTAAGGTAGGAAAGAATCAGTCCTGTTACACTTATAATGGGTTTATAGTTTTAGGGGAAAAATGTTATAACCTAGATCAGTTTCATGTAGAATTTTAGCTGTAAAAGTAAGAAATTTTAGACAGTGTTCAGGCAATACTTTGGTTGAGAGGCAACTGTGTATGGACAGGCTAGCCCCCTTCCAGGTCACTACTTGATTTTGTAGGTCTCTTCCCTTCCCAGTTCAAAAACTCTCAATTTTACAATGATAGCAACCATAAAGAGTGTATGAAGGCTATTTAGAAGCCAGTGCTTGAAGATGAAGATGGCTTTTATCTTTCTTTTTCATATGTTTGCTAGGCTATATTATAATATAACTTGTTTTTTTATATTTATGGTTTAGTTTCTTTAATTTAGATTTCTTATTCTTACACACAGACATTATCATTTGAAGAATATACTCCTCCTTATTCCAAATAGGACTAGTGGTAGGTAAAAGAAATTATAGTTGCCAGTGGCTCATTCCTGTAATCCCAGCTACTAAGGAGGATGAGATCTGAAGATCGCAATTTGAAGCCCAGTCTGGGCAGGAAAGCCTGTGAGACTCTTATCTCCAGTTAACCAGCAAAAAGTTGGAAATGGAGCTGTGACTCAAGTGGAAGAACATTAGCCTTGAGCAGAAAAGCTGAGGACAGTGGCCAGACCCTGAATTCAAGCCCCAGGACCTGTACCAAAAAAAGAAAAGAAATTATAATTACTTATTATTGATTCTCTTTAATTTTTACTGGTTACAGTATATTTTTCCCCTTAATTGTAGGTGCTTCTAAAGTAAAGAAATATCGCAAATTAATTTTAGAGCCGGCAAAAACAACCAGCCTGGAACTGGTTCCGGAAGAACCATCTGAGCCTGTGCCACCCTTGATAGTTGATCATGAGAGACTGAAGGTAAGCTTTGCTTTTCCAGACAGCTCTTCCTAATTTAATTTAATTTAATTCTCACTAATTTAATATACTTGTGTTAGGGTTTATGCTATAGAAGACTTATATGTGTTTTGAGGGGTTAAGAATACTGGAATAGGATAGTTTGGTAATCAACTAAGATCTAAAATCTTTTAACTTCAGGTATATATTTTATGGTTTAACCATTTGAATGTAACTGCTTCAGTGAAAATCAAACTACATTTTCTTTTCTTTTAGAAATTGCTTGATTTGTTGGTAGATAAAAGCAACAATTTGGCAGTTGATCAACTAGAGAGATTATATTCTCTTCTTAGTCAGTGCATCTATCGTCATCGTAAAGATTATGACAAATCACAACTTGTGGAGGTAAGTGCATAGTCCATTTGTAGAATAAACAAATGTGGTCTCTACCCCATAGAGAAGGAAGAGAAGTTACTCTTAACTGAAAAATGTTTTGAAGGTTTAATATTAGAAAAAAAAAGGGGGAGCTGTAGTTGTAACTGTAGCTTAGTCACAGAACTCTGTGTGTGTGCGCTTGTGTGTGTGTGTGTGTGTGTGTGTGTGTGTGTGTGTGTGTGTGAAATCACATTTTCTTGATCCATTTTGCCATTGCAGGCATTTGGGCTATTTCCATAATTTGGCTATGGTGAATAGTGCAGCAATGAACACAGGTGTGCAAGTGTATCCTGACTTGAATCTTTTGAATAAATCTTTTGATTAATGCCCACTTATGGTAGCTCTAGATGATCAGGTAGTTCTATGTTTAGGGGTTTGTTTTTGTTTTGTTTTGCCAGTCCTGGAGCTTAAACTCAGGGCCTGGACACTGTTCCTGAGCTTCTTTTGCTCTCAAGCCTAACACTCTGCCATTTGAGCCATAAGCCACTTCTGGCTTTCTGTTTTAGTGGTACTGAGGAATCGAACCCAGGGCTTCATGCATGCTAGGCAAGGACTCTATCACTAAGCCACATTCCCGGCCCATTGTGTTCATACTCTTAATATAGTGTCCATTCTAACTGGGGTGAGATGAAATCTCAGGGTTGTTTTGATCTCCATTTTGTTTATGGCCAGAAATGTTGAGCATTTCTTCATGTATTTATTATCCATTGTTATTTCTTCTGAGAAGTCTTTATCACCTTTGCCCATTTTTTAATTGGGTATTGATTTTATAAGAGCTTAATTTCATGAGCTCCTTGTATATTCTGGATATTAGACCCTTATCAAAAGTATAGCTGGCAAAGATCTTCTCTCATTCTATAGGCTGTCTCTTTAGCTTTTTTTTTTTTTTTTTTTTTTGTCAGTCATGGGGCTTGAACTCTGGGCTTGGGTGCTGTCCTTTCGCTCTTCAGCTCAAGGCGAGCTCACTACCACTTGAGCCCCAGTGCCACTTCCAGTTTTCTAATGGTTTATTGGAGATAAGAGTCTCATGAACTTTCCTGTCCAGGCTGGCTTTGAACCGTGATTCTCAGACCTCAGCCTCCTGAGTAGCTAGGATTATAGGTGTGAGCCACTGGTGCCCAGCACAAAAGGTTTTCAATTCCAGCAGTCAGGTTATAAGTACAATGTATTTGATCAACGTCACCCTACCATTGTTCTTCCCATCATTCCCCATCCCATCCTTAACCTCAAGTACCACTAAGTTTTGTAGGAAAAATATACCAGGTGACCAAATAACTTGAATTTTGGAAATGATTCCAGGAATCCTCAGTAGCTCTACTCTCAGACAAGAAAGAATTAATTTTGAGCATATGTATTAATCCATATAAATTTGCTGGTGTCTTTACAGAGTCTCGTTAAGTTTTTAAAAGTGAAGAATGAAAGCAGTGTGTGAATATATTATATACTATATACACTGTAGACTATAAAGTCATATTAAACATGTGAAGGAGATTTAAAATTCCTCGATATATCTTTGCATCTGGAAACTTCTGCTGTGGATTTATAGGGCTATAATTTCTATCATGAGTATTTTCCATACAGCTTTTGTAGGTCTTTTTCACATAACTGATCAAATAACTATTTTCTTAATGTTGTTGCTGCTTTAACAGCAGAGAACTTGGTTTTCTTACATATTCTCAGGTAACTTTGCAGTAACTTGATGCTGCTAGGTGAACCGTTTGTGCAGGAGGAACTAATAGTTGGCTAACCAAAGTGACCCTACATGATTATACATATTATTGGTGATTCCCTTTTCTGAAAGGAAAGACAATTGAGATTTCTTTGTTGAGACACCTGTAATTATTCTACCATGCATTATTGGCTTCTGTATTTGTTTGTTTTCATATTGTGGTGACAAGATATACACCTTCCTGGGGAAAATTTAAAACTATGTCTAACTTTCTAATCAGCCTGATAATATAGCCATTTCTTAAATGTATATATTATGCAGTTGGCCACTGGTGTTAAAAATGAAGCACATATAAAGTAAAACGTATGGTACCAGAAAAGATTATATGAGATAATTTTTAATTAATTTTTTATTATGAAAATACCGTACAGAGGGGTTACAATTACATGAGCATGGTAATGAGTACATTTCTTATCAAGCATTGTGGCCTCCTCCTTTGTTTCCCCTTACCATCCGAGATAAATTTTTTTTAACTTTCTATTTTGTAGATTTCATATCCATTTTACTTGTAGATTGTGAAAATTAGTCAGCATGGATATCAAGAACTAAGAATTTTTGTTTGTATGTTAGATCATTATGAGTTTGCTTTGAGTCCTCTTTAGATATGTCTAACAAGTATTTCACTCCAAGTTCTACATATCTTTACCCCCTCCTCATGAAACAGTTCGAGTTCGGCGAAAGTCAAGGCGACGATCACAGTGGGGTAAAGGAATTATTAAGAAAAGGAAAGTCAATAATTTAAAAAAAGATGAAGAGGACACCAAGTTTGCAGACTATGAGAATCATACAGAGGACAGAAAATTGCTGGAAAATGGTGAGTTTGAGGTAAGCACTGACTGCCATGAGGAAAATGGAGAAGAGACTGGAGACTTGTCTATGACTAATGACGAATCTTCATGTGACATCATGGACATGGACCAAGGGCAGAGGCTAAACAGTGGAACAGGTACAAAAGAGAACTTTGCATCTACTGAAGAAGAAAGTTCAAATGAATCTTTACTTGTCCACAACAGCAGTTCTCTCAATCCAGAACAGTTATCTAGAAAGGAGCCTTTCCTTAAAGGCAACTGTCTGAATGGTGACGCCTCCGCTGATAGCTTTGAAGGAATACCAGCTCTAGAGTGCCAGAATGGCAAAGCTGAAGGGACTCCTCTCTCTGGTAGTGGAGAAAAATCTAATTCTGAACAAAAGATTCTCATGGAAGAACAGCCAAAAGAGAAATCAGAAACTTCTAATGAAAATCATGAAGATGATTCTGAGAAACTAGCCACACTGGAATGCAGCAATAATGAGAAGTTAGAGCCTTGCCTGGATGTGGAGGTTAAAGATACAGAACTGGATAAAGAAGGTAGAGCTACACTTTAAAACACTTTCTGGAAGTTTAAATTCCAGAGTTCATTACTTATTTTTATCTGACTTATAAGTAATTATATTGGGTAATTGTATTGCTCTGAGAATCTGTTAATGTTTTCATCCTTTTCCATATAAAAGTATGCGTATATACTAGGCTTTGCCAGTGGTTTCAGAGATGTTATGGTCTACTTTCCTGGCTGCTCTTATGCTTCCCATCTGATTATCACTCTCATTCTAGGGGATATATAAGTAAAAGCCAAGTAAAATCAGCAGGAGGAAAGAAGATAGAACTCCAAAAAGAATTTTTAGAATGAGATGTGGGTAGGCAGAGAAGACTTGGATATTATAACATTAGTCATGCAGATCTAGATTAAACTACCACTCCTGTTCATTATAATCATATAACTATGAGCCTGTTACTTATGCTTTCCCACCTTGGTTTTTCATCTTGTAAATTAAACTTCGAGATGGCATTGTTGCAGGGATTGCAATAAGTCATGTATAATAATTGCCTCTCATAGTTACTGGCACTTGCTAAGGTATATTTATTCCAGGCAGTCATTGTTAATTGAATCTGAGGGATGTTCAGTCTAAGAGGCTCCATTGATTTATAAGGCTTGGTGTGGAGGAGAGACACAGAATTCTCACTGTCGAGTTATCTTGTTCTTAGAGAATCAGTACTCTACCAGCTACTGGCTTCTTAAAACAATATGATTTTTTAAGAAGCAGCAGGAAAGGAGAATCAAGGGCTTCTAGTGCATCGTTGTTCATTGTTACTTTTTGGTCCATAGTGGTACAGAGTTAGTTGGCTATCTAGTTCAATAAATAAATATTTCCTTCCTGGACAGGTCTTGAAGTTATATCGTGATTTATAAATTGTGGGGAATACACAGAAATTTAGAATGGGATCAGAATTGTGTGTAAAAATTGTTCCTGCCATATTTCTAAGCCCTGTAGTAGAAGTAAGAAATTGAAATTATTATTCACTCTTACATTTCTTTTAATGGATAGAGATGTGCTGTTCTTAAAGGTTACCTGTTAAATGTTTTCTTTTATTTTTTTACACTTAAAAAGATTTTATTATGTGCTTTTTTTAATTTAATTTTATTTTATTTGTGAACATACTGT